AAAAAAAAGGGATGATGCTAGGGGTGAGGGGGTGGCTTTTCCAGTAAGTTTGAATAAGCCATAATGCTTGCCCCTTCCAACATAAATTGACGTGTTTTTGGATTTTTCCAAAATACCAGTATTACAAAAGTTATTGAAGGTGGATACTTTTATCTGAAAAGCACTGTATTGCAATTGTATGGCAATGCCTTACCAATCACGATGCTTCTGATATCTTCAAACCATGAAAACAATTGGTGGACTTGATCAATGTTATTACCTGAAGATACAATACAATACAAACCTAATAGCCTTTTCTTTACTGTGGACGTCAATATCATGGACATTCAATAGATGCCCCTTCAAGATACATGTTCATATGGTAGTCTAATAGATATCCTGTGTTTATAGGGATATCAAATCCTTGGTTTATTTCATCAATAACTCTTTCTGTTTTCCAGGGGCCTATAGCAACAAATATGATCAACACTGGTCTAGAAACTGGACAATGGGCTGTGTTACAAAATTGCCACCTGGCAGAGAGTTGGATGAGAGAATTAGATAGAATTTGCGACGAAGTGATTGTACCAGAAGTAACAAATTCCAGTTTCAGATTATGGTTAACAAGTTATCCAAGCAAATCGTTTCCTGTCGCGATTCTGCAAAATGGTAATCATCTCTGGTATCACCTGATTTCGACATGCAGGGGTTGGATCCATTTCGAAATATAAGCGATATTATCACTTTAAAACAAAGATAAAAAAGATACGAGTTATTATATTGAATTATCATTTCAGAATACGAAAGTTTTTTGACGACAAATTCAAAAGTCACCATTGGTCAATATGTATCTTCTCGCATTATACAGTCAAAATATTCATTGATTCATAACAAAATTCAGAATTGCACCGTTATTCTTGTGTCACTTCATAAATGTATTGTCTTTATTACTTCAAGAAATATCAAACGTTTATGAATAGGGATAGCAAACTGAAAATGAAAATTCGAAAAAGTGATGAAATACTGAACGAAAAACACATGATAAATCCATTATGATAAATCAAGTTCTGCCCAAAATTGAATTCGAAATCACTAACTGATAACAATTTTGATGTGTCGTATTTTGATTATCAATTTTACTGATTTTTATAAAACTTTGTTCCAAAATTCAAGACATATAGGTCATAGAGTTAATAGAAAAACAAATTATTTATTTGAACAGAGTGTTCAAATCTGAAAAGTTGTTTGGTTTATTCAAATTTTGAGTGGTTTCTACTTTGGAAAGTTTCATTTTGTGAAGACTTTAGATGTGTAATCGTGGATTTATTGGCTGATTTCTAAATATAAATAAAATAATGCAATTGTGAGTATGTTAGAATGAAGCATATATATTTTAGAAACAAATTAAGAGATTTATGCCTCATGATCTTGAATAGAATTGCGACAGATATTTCGCTTGAATAATTTCAGTATATTTTCTTCACCATCATTTCTCATCAAGATGCAATATTCATTATAATTGGTATAACTCATTAAATCATCATTAATATCTATAGGGTTGGTGCAACTGTTCAATAATCTTCCAGAAGTACTCTTTTGAGGCGATTTTTTGAAATTTATCAATTCATTTCGTTCTTTAAATTGTTTTCATATCAACTTGAATTTTGTCACTGTTACTTATCTGAAAAGTATGAAATTGTAACATCTGTAGATAATTCAACTGATCCCTTGAAAGATAACTTCGTTGATGAGTTAGGGCATACTAAAAAAAGGATGTATCAACAATATATATCCTTGCGGTTCCTAAAAAAAAAATTATGCAAATATATTTGTCGGTCATTGATTTAATTTGCAAACCAATTGAAGGCATACCCTCTAACAAATTGTTTTATTTTGAAATCAATGTCTCGATATGTTTAGTGGCAAATGATTGATACTTATTTTAGGAGAACATGCAACATTTTTCATCATTGTCAGTTTCAGTTTTGATTTTTGAATGGCATCCTTTGCTGCTTCTTCAGTATCTTTAGACTTGCAGAAACCATACTGAGCACTGCATAAAACATCACTGTTTTTCAAACTATCATTCGAAATTCCATAAAGCAATCTTTCTAAAACCCAAAAAAACTGAAAAGGGCTTGGTTCACTAGTAGTTGTCAGAACCATCATTTTGTCATTTTTATGAAAACTTTACAGTTTTCATATCATTAGGTTTTACTTCACTTTCGAAAGATTTCGAAAGAATAATTAATAAAATTGTTGAAATTTCAGTCATGGCGGGTTTTACATTATTTATACTATTATTATATTATCATCATATCAAATGTTCAATCATTTCCTCAATCACAGTCCAATCTAATGGCCCAAAACATAGAAATGTTTCCACATTTTCAGGTCATCATAAAGTATTCGGAATGGTAGAACATAATTATTTACTCGTAACAATAATGATCTCACAAATTTGAAATACATTATCAATTTTATAATTATTCAAACTTTTACTTTTCATGTGTCCTTTATAATCAGCATTGCTTCTATTGGACAACAATTATTCCATATGAGTACAATTGTTTGTACTCATACAAACAATTGTACAAGTGTTTTAGATATTGCTTCAATTTTTTTCTGTTGCATTTTTCAACTATTTTATCGAAGTAAGAATATCTTTGATCAAAAATTGTAAATCAGGATTTTTTTGTATTTGTACGAAGTGATTAATAAGAGTGGAACTTTTGATTGCTTCTATAGTAGAAATATCGTTATTTATTACAAATATATCATTTGATTTGAAGCTATCAATCGATTGTTTTGTTTCATAATCATTGTACACATTATCAATATTTATATCATCAAATAATGAATTAATGCATTTGCGAATTATGAAAACTTGAAGTTCTCCATCTGTGTAATGGAGAAACATCTGTTCATTTGATTGGGGTGGCTCTGTTCCACATAACGGGAAATTCAGAGAATTGATTCTTATTGTGATAAACGTTAGCAGATTTCTTTCTCTTCTGCAATTCAGAAATCGATAGGCACCTACAGCTAGTTTCACATATCGAACGACAGCCAGTCCTGTAATCAAAAGCTATTTCATCTACTATCATGAAGTAACATAGTTGAACATATATCTTCTAATAGGTTGACATAACGTTCAGGAATAATCACTTTCGACGTACATTATTTCAGATGAACTAAAAATTTCACCAATGAGATAAACAATTGTTTTACAGGTGTGAAAATGACAAATGAAGCACCAAAAGGGTTGAGACAAAATCTTTTGAGATCATATATGTCTGATCCCATATCAGATAATGACTTTTATAATGCTTGTCCCAACGGGAAGGCTTTTCGACCTCTTCTATTTGCATTATGCTTTTTCCATGCATTGGTACAAGAAAGACGGAAATTTGGACCTCTAGGATGGAATATACCATACGAATTCAATGAATCGGATCTGAGGATTTGCGTTGTTCAATTACAGGTGAGATATCCTTAAGATATAAGTAGGTTTTTGACGATCTCACTGGGCATACCTTCAAGACTGCCAATAAATATATTGCAAGTGGGGTGACTGAAAGAATTAATTCCAGGATATGATGAGTTACCAATTTAAACATTTTCTTCACACACTCTACTGGTTTGTTTAATATGTTACCGGCCAAACCCGATTTTAGGTCAAACTAGTTTTACCTAGGCTAAACTAGTTTATCCTATATGCGATCGGATAAACCGGTACAGACTAGGCAAAACGGGTCTGTCCTAAGGATGATAGGAGAAACTAGTTTAACCTAGGAGGAACTGGTTGGGTCTAATATGAATAAGTACACTTCAGGATAAACTAGTTTTGCCTAGGATGAATTGGTTGGGCCTTATATGAATAGGTACACTTCAAGATAAACTAGTTTGGCCTAGTCTATTATATGCTAACAGGGAATAATAAAATACCAGAAATACAAGTAATAAAATCAAGATGTATTTATTAATTAGATCAATATCAAATTCACTTAATTTTGCATGGTGTACTCTGATGGCATTCAGAATTGCAGAGCACCATTTTTTTCTTGCATTTGCACCTGTTTGTCAAACATTTTTTCACGCAGCTGCACCTTACGAAACCTTGCCCTGAACCAACTGAATGTTTAGTGGCTGCAGTCCTCAGAGATATTTCAGTATCTTGGTCAACATCACCTACGTTTGAAAATTCCTGAATGCAAATATCGAATTCAGTTCTGAAAGAAAAAAACAAATCAAAACTAATATTTTTCAATCACCAGAAAAATATGGTAATGTCGACATTGAAGTATAAGTCTATTTAAAATAAGTATTATTGAAATGGGTTTTAAAAATACAGTGAGCAAAAAATCTGTGCCTGCAATATAATTTCTGCAATACGCCATGTTTGGTGCCAACTTTATAAAGGTCCTCATCGTTTTTCCGAAGAATAACCCCAATAATGTTTATGAGATCACCTCTGCCTTTGTCTACGTCTGGAATTGGTATAGTTACATTGTCTCCAATGTTGGCAGGTGGATGGGATTTGTCGGAAGATTCTTTCATTTTTTGCTTGTTTTTTAGGATTTTTTTGCCGCCGTCATTCTAGCATCTTTAATGTTTTATGAATCAATTTCCACAACGCCGCCATCTCCATCTTCACTATGGTTACTATTCGAATCATCTTCGATAACTTTTCTGATGTCTTCCTCATCCTGAAGATCATTTATTATTTCTTTCTGTAACGATGAAGTCGAAAGTCCTACTCTAGGCTCTATCCCGAATAAGGCCTTGTAAGGCGATTGTTTTATTCCTGAGTGAAAGGCACGGTTTTTCATAAACTGGACATATCTCAAACCCTCCGACCATTTCGTTGAATTGTTGTCCTTCAGCCAAGAACTTATCATGTCCTCTAAATCTTGATTAGCACGTTCAACGGAACCCTGACTTTGACTGTGCATTGGTTCTCCATGCACAATTTTAAGTTCTGGCCAAAGAGTTGCGAGATCACTAATCACATTATTGACAAATTCTCTACCATTGTCAGATTGGAGAATGCATGGTGCTCCTATAGTTAGAAATATATCATTCAGGTAGTAGGCCACTTCTGCAGCTCTCTTAAATGTTAATGCACGCAGAAGAACAAATTTTGTTAAGTGATCTTGGTAAACCATAATAAATTTGAATTGTTCATCAGGTTGTGTCTGAAAATCGACCAAATCCACCTGGCATCTGCTATTCATTTCAGAGTGAAGAATCGGCTTTGAAACTAGTCCTCTCTTCTTTTTTCTCTTCTTCTGTTGACATGCATCACACATTGATAAATAGAGGCTTATCATTTCTTTTGTGATATTAGCATATTTTTTTGATGTCTCGGCTAACATTCTGTCACGTCCTCCATGTCCAATCGCCACATGAGATGCGTCAATCAAATTCATAAAGCTCATCAGCCTGTAGATAGTATTTTATATTCCCTTCCCTCCGTGCTATTAGTTTTTTTACATCTCCTATTTTTAGCACACCAAATCGTTTGAGTCGCCTTTGTTGTAAAGGTGTCCTTTTTTCCGACTTTACAGCATCTTCCACTTATTCAACCAGTTCCGAATATTCATCTGATAACAACACATTATAATGAGAAGACTTTTTCTTTTCACTTTCCGCAATTTCGGCTACAAACTTTTCTCTCCACTTTTTTTGATCTGCTTGTCTACTAGATGTAGAAGGCTCATCCATGATAACATAAAACCAAACCGAAAAAATATACTTTTATCTTTTCAAAACACGAGTATTAACTAACACGTCCTCAATTCAAAGCAGAACGAGCGTAACTGGGCAAGCGACGACGTGAGAAATACGATCGTGGGATCCCCGAATGCACAGGTCTCGACACGTACCTTCTCGCTTAATTTGCCCCTGTTAGCATAGAATAGACTAGGCCAAACTAGTTTATCCTGAAGTGTACCTATTCATATAAGGCCCAACCAATTCATCCTAGGCCAAACTAGTTTATCCTGAAGTGTCCTTATTCATATTAGGCCCAACCAGTTCCTCCTAGGTTAAACTAGTTTCGCCTATCATCCTTAGGACAGACCCGTTTCGCCTAGTCTGTACCGGTTTATCTGATCGCATATAGGATAAACTAGTTTAGCCTAGGTAAAACTAGTTTGGCCTAAAATCGGGTTTGGCCGGTAACAAATATACAAATTCCATACCAATCGAAAGTATGAAGCCTATAGAATATGCACACGTTAGGATGACTAATTTTTTTTCCGTCACAACTGTTGGGTAGGCAGGTAAATCGATACTAGTAACTTGCACTGGCCTGGTTAATGAATTAAATAGTAATACATATATAATACTAATCTTACAGCAGACAAAATAAAAACAAAGAAAAAATCCATCATAAAATGATGAAAATTATATATGATGAGGATGTTGTGTTTTAAATAAAAATTTTATTATGATGGAATGTAAATACAAGTTTTTAAATTAACAAATCATTTAGTATCCGTGTCGTCGTACATGAAATGGTGATCTCCAACTTCAGAACATTCTTCGTCGTCGCTTTCTGTTTCAGTTGTTTCCACAATTTCTTTCATCCTTGAAGGTGTTTGATCCCCAATGAACCCTAGTGATTTTAAATATTGATTTAAGAACCAACCGCTGTCCTTAGGCTGCTGAAGTGACATGCATACCGGATCCGTTGCACCAAGCCACATATAATTGCCGAACATAGTTCTGAAATTTTTTTGTGTCAGTGATATCCAGCATGGTGGTATGGTGTTGAAGTCAGAGCCCTTTCTTTTTTTCAACTGTTCGCCGTATTCTCTAGCAAAGTAATTTTTTAGAAAAATGCGATATCTTGCATCATTTACGTGGTGCAGTTCGTGATGCCATTCATACTAGCAGTAAATTTCCAGTGTCAAATTCAAATATCAATGACTCAGCAACCGGTTATCAATATTCAAATAACTGAAGATCATTGTATAGAGAATTGAAATCCGTTTCAAACATTTCGAATGTCACATGACTCTCCCTTTACAATAAAGTTACAAATAAAAGTGGTAAAAAACATAGAAATTTTCATTTCTCTTTTCATCATGATCTCCTACCACATAGTAACGGATACATCCATCAATTTATTGAAAAATCAATAAATAATACTACAATAATCGTTGGCGAAGACATAGATCTATTGTTACCACTCATAGCTCGCACACAAATACTTCATCAACCTACATCCATTTTTTCAAGGAACTAGGGAAAAACAATGTTGAAACAAAAATATACTCGACTGAAAACCTCAACAAGCATCCACACTGCAAGAAAAATATTCTGTTTATAAATGCTATGACCGGATGTGACACAACTTCAACACTTTTTGGGAAAGGAAAAATTAAAATCATGAAGATGTTTGAAAAAAGACCCGAATCACACAAATCTGCAGAAATATTTCAACAAGAAAATTGCCCTCGAAATGCCCTTGTCAATGCTGGAATACATATTCTACTAGCAATGTACGGTGCTCCAAAATCAGAAAATTCAATTAACAATTACACCCACTTCCTCAGCAGCTCAACAACATATTTATCAAGTCTTTTATCAAATACAAACCTGGCTAGAAAAAGAAATTGAAAGTTGAAAAATGATATATTACAACCAATAACAACTTTATTGCCACCAGCACCCGATGATCTACTAAACACAGTCTTTTGTAATTATACAAAAGGTTGTGGCAGCAAATGTGGATGTAAAAAATTGGATTGAGATGTTCTAAAGCTTGTGGACATTGTCGTGGTCGGTCATGCTTAAACGCAGAGTCCACTAGTGAATAAAATGATAAAGATGTTGATTCAAATACAGCAATAAGCCCACTCGATGTTTTGTCAGCAACTTTCGATGAAGTTGAAATTGAGGATATCGACGACGAATGGATATAAAAAAAATTATACAAAAAAAATTGTTTTCATATTTTTCAATGTACAAATAGAAAATTATTGAGCATAAAATGAAAAAAAACTTTCATTACAGTTCATGGATTATGCTTACGAGGGAAACCAAAAAAACGCGCGCCTTGCATTCTACCTCAAAGATGGTGCGGAAACGAGTGCATCATCATAGTCGCTCTAGTCCGAAAACGGTTGACTTTACAGAAAAATACAAGAGACATTTTTCTGTGTCAATTTTTCACATCTTCATTAAAACGACATAATAATGGTGTATACCAAAATTCAGCTCAGTAGGAATTTTTCCGCAGATAAAACCTTAAATGACTGGACTATGATACCTATTAACTTCTGCAAAATATGAACAGTGAAATATCAAAATTTAGTTTATGAAAAATATAAAAAAATTCTTGCGTTGAAAAACCAATTCAAACAAGCATTCGAAGGTGCGAACTGTCATGATGTCATACTGTATAAATCCGAACACATGCATATGGCGCAGGCTGTGACGGCCATTTAAATCTAATTATTTAAGCACCTGCGCGAGACGCTTTTGTGTAAAATGTGATAAAGTCCTGTTTTTTCAATAAATTGGTATTATTGAGTTGTATAGTTTCGTGATTTGTGTTTAACCTTGATTCAGCTTTGTTTGTGTGTTGTTGAATTTATAAATCTATCACGGACTTTCAGTTTCAAAGGCAATGAAACACAAACAATATTACAAATATTGCATTGTGTTTTTGTGCACGAATACTTCCGTTAAATCACCAAATAAAATATTTACAAGATTACCTGAAGATGATCGTAATCGTTGAACAAAATGGTTAAATGCATGCGTACTTCACCAAGAGAAAAAATGTGGCTTCTTCAATGAATTTTGCTACCATATACATATCACTAACTGGCTGATTATTGGATTGACCTTTTGTAAATCTGTCGTCGGTCATGTTTGTTCGAATTTTCACACTTGATAGTAAATAATACTATGTAACCACAGATTTCGGCAAAAATATCACGATAAACAACAAAAATTTCGAACCAGCAATCGTGAACATTTCAACATAAATGGAATGGCGACTGGCGAAATACAGTATAACGTCACATCCAATGGTTGGGCATTTTTGGTCACGTGACGAAATTAAAATTTTTAGTAAACCTTAATTATTTCTATGAAACGAAAAGCATTTAAAAAATTTTTTTTGGTAATAGAGGCTTATCGAAGGTATTCGACATTATTGAACTGGAGATAATCGAAAGTAGGTAAATTATATTCCCTTGGTTTTCGTGGAAATTTCTTGTTATGACTGATGTCATACAAGCGCTTCAGGAAAATATCAGTTGAAATCAGAGAGCATAAATCTGAATATCATGAGATAGACCGGGGAGTTCTTCAGGGATCGATCTTGGGGCCACTCATTTTTTTGTTATTCATAAACGATCTACCTGACTATATCAGTTCAGATTCAATAGTTCTCTATGCAGTTGATCCTACATTGGCCATTAATGCAGATAATTCTGAAGACTCACAAAAAAAAAACAAATAATTTAGCAGAAGAATTCATGAATTGGTGTGAAAGAAATTATTTGATAGTGAATGCAGAGAAAACAGTCTGTATGCATTTCCATTCTGGGTGGACATCTGTGACTGATATTCAAGTGGTTTTCAAAAATAGCACTATCCATCTTTCTGAAGTTACGAAACTTCTTGGAACTTACATAGATAGTGGAATGAGTTCAGGAAAATAATATTGATACCCTAAGCAAAAAAGTGAACACAGGTTACTATGCTATATTGCAATTAAAAAATATGTTCGATACCAATCAACTCATCAATGTATATCACGCTCTAATCTTCTGCAACATATCCTATAACATCAACATCTGGAGATGATCCAGTAACTCAAGCAGAATATTTGTTTCTCAAAAAAGAATTATTCGACTCATTTTCAATCTAAAACCAGATGAATCGTGTCGACCACATTTTCAAAAATATAAAATTTTGACAGTTCCATGTATTAATGTTTTCAAATGTATAATGTTATTTATGCAACATGTTGAGATGTATCAAACAGTTTCTCATTGCCATGGTTCTCCAACTAGAAACGAAGACCTCATCAGAATTCCTGCACATAGGTCATCATTCTATGAAAAAATCCCCTCATATGGAGGTATAAAGTTTTTCAATCCTCTTCCCGCAAACCTGAGAGAGCAACGGAATAAAATCATCTCCAAATCAAAATTGAAAGTACATTTGCAAGACAAATGTTACTATATTATCAAAGAATTTTTTGATGCAAAATGAAAACGTATTTGCTCATATGTATGAATATGAATGTAATGAATGTTTTCGTGTATATGTGCACAAATCTATTGAATACTGATATTTTTTCATATTGTTGATTGTAAATTTGTCCACCATCACACGTTTTTTTATTTGTGACGTATCCCATATCATGCTGTATGTGATCTGTAAGGATTGAATAAAGATTATTATTATCATTATAACTATATTATCAAAGAATTTTTTGATGCAAAATGAAAACGTATTTGCTCATATGTATGAATATGAATGTAATGAATGTTTTCGTGTATATGTGCATAAATATATTTTATATTGTTATTTTTTCATATTGTTGATTGTTAATTTGTCCACCATCTCACGGTTTTTTATTTGTGACGTATCCCATATCATGCTGTATGTGATCTGTAAGGATTGAATAAAGATTATTATTATCATTATTATTATTATCTTTCGATTCTCAATGTAATTTTCGGAATTAAATTTTTATGCATATTCTTTATTGAATAATTTTCGATTTATAATTGTCAAGGTCAAGGTGAAAAAAGTTTCACGTTCTGGCTTTTTTCGTTCTTGTAACATTTTCTAGGGAGTATAAGTAATATTGTTTTTCTAGATGTTTCTGACTGAATATGTGGACGTTCCATATGACGCCTTGACATATCTTACTGGGGAATGCAATTATGGTGGCAGAGTGACGGACGATAAAGACAGGAGACTACTGGCTTCGTTACTTTCTATATTTTATACTCCAGAGACCGTCAAGAAGCCTGGGTGAGTTTGGGTAGAAAATAAAGAAAATATTCCAGCTTGAACAAATTTACCATTACAAACAAGAGTTTCATTTCATTTTTAGGTACGCGTTTTCTGCAAGCGGTCTCTATTATGTTCCCGCAAATACAACATATAAAGGTTGTTTGGACTATATCAAGTCGTTGCCTATCATCCCTCAGCCAGAAGTTTTTGGATTGCATGAAAATGCCGACATAACGAAAGATAACCAAGAAACTCAAATCGTGAGTAAATTGTAGGATACTGTAGGATAGTGTAGGATACAATGATTTTTTGGGTTTAATAGAATCAATTGTGAAGATCGCATTTCGAATTGGGAATATTTTGTCAGTTATGTGTATATTATAGAGACTGAAAAATTAAAATGCTCATTCAGTCAGAAAAAAAGACATGAACAGATAATTGAAGTATATTCTACAAAAAAGTATTTCAGTTACAATGATAAAATATCCATTAGTCACGAAAAACAAGAATTTTCATGATAGTAATGAAATTTAAAAACATACCTACACAGCAGGTTCTGGTAAATACATGTGACAAAACAACTACTTCCTCGGTTAAAGCCACGTTGGGTATTGAATTATCTCCGACAGATATTTCTGCAAGATACCTCACAGAGGTTCGTCGTGCACATGTTTCTCATCCAGCAGCAGGATAACGCTGAGACCAATTAAGCAGACCACCCACAGACCGGTTTCAAGGTATTACCTATCATCGGTGTATTGATTAACTTCAACGTGGCTCGACTGTATGTAAGAAACCTTTATCTGAGAGAAATACTGTTAATTAGTAACATCTCCATGTCTTGAATAAGGTCCCAAGCAAGGAAGAAACACCTCATGTACCAATACTCTTGACAAAAATCGAAATTTTGAAAACTGTATCAGAGAGAAAAACATACGTACAAGAAAATATATATGTTGAAATGAAATTTCGAAACAACATAAGTACACAATAAGTTGTGGTAAATGTCTGTCGATAAGCAACTACTTTCCCGGCAGATACCTTCCGAAAATAGAACTATATCGATATATACCGAGCGGTTTACAAGTTATGCGAAAAGTAATGACATTTTCACTTGCTATCGTGGGTTCCCAACCTTTTTGCACTTGGGTACTACTTGACTTTTTGAGAAATATTGGTGTACCACCAGACCTAAATATTTTAACAAACGTATAATATTTACTCCTCTAAAAGTGTTCAAAGCCTTTTTTTAATTAAATTCCTGAGAAAACTTCATATTTAATGGTTAGATATTTATTTATTTATAACATGCTAATGATAAAGGAGGAATAAAAAGATCAAAATGGTATTAATTTACAGTTTTATTCATTACTCATAAGTCTAAAAACATACAAATAAAAAATTATTTGAAAGTCAGCAAAAAATTAATCATCATACAAAATATAGGTACTTTTATAGTCTTTAGTGCGAAACTTGTTGTTTGCTTGTGATTAAAATATCAATATTAGCAGTAATGGATCTTATCTTTTTCACTCACAAAATGAAACCTTACTTTTAACACACATATCATAAATAGCTATTATGAAAAAGAATTGTATTTCGATTCTGGATACTATTGAAATATGCCTTCATACACGTTTTTTTGAAAGTGTGCTGCTATCCAATTCTTGACCAACCAATAGGTTAAAACTATTTTTCTTATCTGATTATCAGTAGATCTAGAATTAGGAACTCTAGTATAGCAAACTCTCTGAAAGAAAGCATCTAGTGTGAAAATTGCCAACCAAAGTTTGCTGGTAATTTTTTATAGTTATAACGGAATATTGTCAGGAGATTATGAAGTATCTTTACTCCATCAGTCATCTGTTGAAATGAGGATAGTGAGTAAATAATATGTCGGAACAATTCTGATTACTTTGACACCAAATACATTGGTGTTCATAGGCACAACGACAACGAATGTAAAAATCGTGTTTTCCTGAAGAAGAAGAAGAATATATTTATTGAAATAGGTAACCCCAATATACAATATTATATAAAACATATTACTAACATTATAGATACTATTGGATAAACAGTCACACAACCATTTGTAAATATCACCATTAATGCCATAACCTTTTAATTTTATTAGAAGAATATTACGATCAATTGTTTGAAAAGCCCTCTTCAGATAAAGGAACAGCTACTACAAATTTATTGTTATTGTGACATGACGTCAATATTCATTGAATTCGGTGTGAATATTTTCCTGTTGAATTCAAAATTTCAGAATTGAGTGTAGACAATTGAAAAAAATTGGGAAAAGAAACGCTCAAGCATCATTCTATCCCGACGATCAAACAAATAACTATAGAATAAAATTCAGTCCTGGTTGAGCTATTAGTCGGGATATTGGAAGAGTTGAATGTTTCAGAATGTCTCTTCTCAATAAAAACCAATTTCATATTTCCAGCTGCTACATGGTGTATTACTTACCCAGACTCAAATAACGGCTGGAGGCGGCGGGGAGGATACCCAAGAATTAGTCATAGATTTAGCACACGATATTTTGGGAAAACTTCCAGATATGTTCGACGTGAATTTTGTGAGCAACAAATATCCCGTAATATATAGTAATTCTATGAATACCGTTTTACGTCAGGTGAGTAACAGTTCCAGAAAACTGACAATTATTATGAAATGATTGCACTACAATTTTGGAAAGTATTGAAATGAATTGGTTTATTGTTTTTTAAAAAGATTTACACATTTTATATGAAGATGGAGAAGCAGAATGCCAATACATTGATCTCTCCTGAGAATATACCACTTTCAATTTATTGTAGAATAATTTGATGTACCAGGAACTAATGAAGCTACAGTGTAGCTAGATCATTTTGAATGAAATTTAATGTGGACGTTTCATAATTATCGTCATGATTAATAAACATTCTGTATATGTATTCATATAGACTATCGAATGAAATATCTTGATGTCCTATCTAGACATTTCATTTCTTTGACGTATGTCAGAAAATGTAGCTTTTATAATCAAGGCAAAAGTTTTCAAGTAAATTTTGCGTTCTGAAAAGGGAATAAAATTTTTTTCCGAAACGTGGACCACAAATAAATCCTAGGTTTCGTTGCCCATAGGTATATGGTGGCATGCGTATGTTTTGTTTGTGAGATATGTCGTCAATGTTTCATGAAAATAAGTCAAAAGTATCTCGGAATTCCAAAACTATCTTGAAACACAAGTTGTTCCATCTGAATGAACTGAGTTTCAACCTATTTCTATATCTTCAGAATTAGTCATGGATTCCGAACACCTTGTATAACATTTAAGAATGTTACCCCCACAACACGATGAGATGAATCAAGCATAGCTTATTTATGTTTTCTTTCAAATTTTTGAATTTTATGGAGGAGTCACCAGAGAGACAAATATACAGTTTTTGATAATACAGATGAGTATCTCGGGTACGGTTTTGGTTGAATTACAAAAACTAACTTGAAAATTATGTCAGGAATTCAAAAATGTTTAAATATGAAATTTGAGTTGAGGAAGTTGTATTCACGGAAATGTTGGAAAAACGGCATAATTTTCAGCCGATGAAGCATATCAAAAGCCTTTTTCTTCATTGTGACAAATGTTTTCTCTGTATGGTGATGAATTTTTCCTCTATATCTTTCACTTCTGAGGAAACTTTGAATGGAAAAAAATATACATTTTCATTTGTAGGAGCTTATCAGATTCAACAGACTAATTATAGTAGTGAAGAGAACTTTGACTGAAATGGTAAAAGCAGTTAAAGGACTGGTGGTTATGTCGGCAGAATTAGAAGAAACATTCAATTCGCTGGTTATAGGAAAAGTGCCATCTGTTTGGGCGAGTAAGAGCTACCCAAGTTTGAAGCCGCTGGGCTCTTACGTCAATGATTTGATTGCCAGGTAAGAATTCATATGTTTTACTGTTTCACAATGTTTAGAAAACGGGCAGTATTCAGAATTGTTCAAGTGTCGAATATAATGTATATCTTCCTTTCCGGGGTTTCATATAGAACATGTACGTATGTAATATGATATTTTTTCAGTTTCAGAGTCATGAATTCATTTGTTATTGTTTTTTTGTTGAAGTTTCGTTCGTATCGATGAAACAAAATTTTCTGGAATAAAAAATCTAACCTCTCTCTTAGTAATTTCGAGCGATTGATGGTCTCTCCGGTATATCAGCAAGGTTAGAAGTTTTACAAATCTTTCAAAATCACCTAGAATATAAGAAACGTTTTTTTGAATTCCTATTTCAATATTCAAAATCAATTCTGATTCCTGACATAGTAGTTGATTATTTTTTTCTAAAAAGCATAATAAGAAAAAGAATTGGTATGTTTGGATGCACGAAATCAATTTTTTTTGACCTATGGTTTGAACCACTGTGTATACTTATTCATTTTTCAGGTTGAAATTTCTACAAGATTGGATCGACGATGGGGCACCAAACGTATTCTGGATTTCAGGATTTTACTTCACTCAGTCATTTTTAACTGGCGTCTTGCAAAATTACTCGAGGAAAAAAAAGTTGCCCATAGACTTTATACATTTCGAGTACATTATCACTGAATATGAAACCGATACTAAGCAGAAACTTGAAGATGGTGTATTCTGTAAGGTAAGATGGTGTAAATCACATAGTCATTTGGTGTGATTTTCAACTATTCAGAGTATTCAAATGCACTGTTTATAATGAGTTTGAAATAAATACACTTTAATTAGTTTTTCACTGAAATTTGATTCAAGTTATCAACAAATGTTCATTTTCAGAAACCATGAAGTGGTTTGATCAATTCAGAATATTTTAATATTCATTTATAGGTTACTCAAGTACCTACCAAATGATTGTGAGATTTTCTCTGGACAGTTTACACATTCGCAACACGTGTTTCGCTATAAAATAGCTTCATCCGGTGTTTTTATACGTATGAAAGCGTATGAAAACGCTAGATGAAGGTATTGTATAGCGAAACATGTGATGTGAATTTGTCTGTATGTCTGTCTAGTGGATATCTCACTGTGAAGTTTTGAATAAGTTATGGATTTTCTTCAAGTAATTATTTTTCAAAGTTGAGATGGCTCATGCGCAACCATATTATTTTCATTATTTTCATTACACCTGAAAAAAAGCATTTGATACTGTGGACCGTAATATCCTTTTGAAAATAATGCATAATAGAGGTATCGTTTAGTTTATAATTAGTTTAAACATTATTCAGTGAAAAGAAAGCTATATGTCTATATTGGCGACCAAATCGGTAAAAAAAATATATGGAGTTCCGCAAGGATCAATACTTGGACCTGTTTCATTTCTTATATATTTCAACTCTTTGACTGCAGTGAATTAATTCATTTTGTGAGTTACAAATTGATGTCACCAGTTCAATTAACTTAGGAAATAGTGTACAAGAAATCGCAATTGATATTTCAAAAGAACTTGATCAAATATCTGCATGGCTTCAATGCCATAAAAAGACGCTGAATTTTCAGAAATCTTCATATATGTTTATATCAAAAAGGTCTATTTTAATTGATTCAAAAGTACCAGTTGAATTCAATAATGAAAATAAATACTTTCCTAGTGCTAATATTGTTGGTCTTATTGTGTATGAAAATGTATCATGTGGAAAACACATTGAAACAATAAGAAGAAAAAAGCTCCCATCCCATAATTGAAATTTTATTCAAAATTAGAAATGTTTAGGGGTATAAAATACCTTAAATTGATTTATTTTTCATTAGTATATTCCAAAATACAATATTCTATATCAGTAAAGGGGATGGCAACAAATTCCTTATTGAAATCAAATAAAAAACAACAAGGAGTCTACGGCCAACTTGTATAAACCAAAGAACTATTAAATTTTTCATTCTTGCATAAACTCCAATTATGTACTTTCATTCATTTGGTCAAAAATAACCTCAAACATTCAAATTTGACTTTTAAAATCAATGGTGACCAACACAATCATTTCACAAGATTTTCAGGCAACCTGAAATTGATGAAAATGAAAATAAATATTGGGCAAATTTCGATATATTATAAAGATATCAAATTTCCCAATGAGCTACCAAATGCTTCAAAAAATTATTGAATGAAAATTCTGGATTGATTAAAAAAAAATTGTTTGTATAGATACATTATCTGATGAGTACTCTTATGTTCATGTTGATAATCATATTAGAACATATAAATATGTATATGTGTGTATACGTATGTATACTTTTATTTTTTCAAGTTTCAGTCCTGACTTTTTTTTTTCGTGTGCTCTGATCTTACTCAGTTATGTTATAGTTGGTTTTTTCAATTATTGTTTTTTTTTCTGCTTTAAACATTGTATGTTTCTTGGGAAAATAAATTGTTATTATTATTATCTACTAACTAGACTAGATTAAGTTCAAAAATCATGTGGAAAAAACAAATGTGAATTAACGCTTTTACTATTACTATTCATCACATTCCTTTGTAGGGATTGTTCCTGGAAGGTGCAAGATGGGACAGACAGCAGAAACAGTTGAATGAATCGTATCCAAAAATTCTATTCGATGTTGTGCCTATAATGTGGTTGAAACCAGCTGAGATCGCAAATTATAACCCAAAGCCTTGTTATAATTGCCCGGTGTATAAAACTAGTGCAAGGCGCGGAGTTTTATCTACAACAGGCCATTCGACCAATTTTGTAATGTACACCACATTTAATACAAATTTACCAGAAAAACATTGGATCAACAGAGGGGTAGCAGCATTGTGTCAACTTGATGACTGAATCAAATTTAGTTTTCATATAATTTTATTTATGTATATTTCAATAAAATATTGACTGTAGAGTTTTTTGTCATTTTGTCATATGTTCACCATGATTTTTTACACGCTTTATATTAGCTTCACCTGTATGTTTGTATGTATGTTTGTTTGTAACCCTCAAGCTCGGGATCTGTATTTGACAGAATTACCGACATTATTGCTTGATCTATTCGCGAGTAGATGGCGCTGTATGTAACCGCCTTGATATAATTCGAAGTAATTTTACATGTATTTCTTCATTTGCCTGTTGCCTTATTTGTAACCCTCCTTTGCGCTCCTGCTGCCTTGGGCTTGGTAGCTGACTTTCAGATTCCCTCTCCGGAATCGGAAAATATCAACAGTCATTTTTCTAGACAATATACGGCTGATTGATCCCAAAGTTTAGATAAAATAAATATGGTTTAAAAAGACTGAAAAACACGCTTTTATAGCATACGAAACTAAAAAATGAAAAATAAATATAGTTTAAAAAACTAAAAAACACGCTTTTAAAGAACTTCGAACTGGAAAGTTGAATTTTCTTTTAAATAAGCTTAAAACAATAACGAACAAAAAATTCTAGTATTATTGTGAAAAAAGAGTGGACGCTTTGTGCCATATTTTTTGTATATCAAGCGCCTGCCGCGTTTTTCACAATAATACTAGTATTTTTCGTTCGTTATTGTTTCAAGCTTATTTATTTATTCAGAAAATATTCCATTTTGAATATCAGACAAATATCTTACAAAATCAGTAGGTACCATATACATAAAAAACATTTGCAAATACTGACATAATAGAACATCAGTATGATACAAGATCAAAGACCAATAAATGCTTCCAAATTGCTGAGTGTAGTCTACATTTAATGCAACAACACTGCATATGTATCGGTTGTAAAATTTACAATATAATTTCACGAGAAATTAAAAGTTGAGAACAACAGCATTCAAAGAAACATTACACAATTGGATATTAGATAATAGTGAAATAATTGAAAATGTGCTCACATTGAAATAGTTCAATTCAACAGATAATTTATTTCTCCCCCATTCATAATAAAATACTATTATTGATACATTTTTCTTTTCTATATTTATATTGTTCCATGAACAATATCTATCAACAATCAACATTATCTTCATTTTTCAACTGACCCAGTCACACACAAGTGTTTACACTTAGCAGACTGTGTTGAAATATTATACATGTAATTACAATTTTTTAATAGTTATAGACATTCATTTGATATTGTACATTTGTTAATAAATTTGAATTTGAATTTCCTCATCAGTCTAGTGAATTCGGAATTCATTCATATACCGTACGACGAAGTAACGTATATCATGATCGTTTTAATGACCGCATACATGTTTCAGACAGTTTTCAAAAACACGAATATAGAACGTATTCAAAAAACACTTCATTGTGAGATTTTCACTAACCAGTTTCACAAAAACGCAACACCTGTTTGCCATACAATGGCTTCTTCGGGCGTGTCTTTTCTCTCAAAAATGTAAAGTAAAATAATTCCATTTGAACTGAAAACTATTTCCAAATTCACGATGAAGCTGAGATTTTTGACATTCTACACTTTGTAAATCAATTCAAATTTTATTGACCACAATAAGGATAATTCATCTCTTGAGGATGATTGAAAAGTGAAAACTTCTTTCATTCTCAATGTTTCCCAATTACCTATTTGAAATAATTATAGTCAAATTTTCGTTGTCCATCGACACACACATCGGCCGATTGACTGAGTGAACAAAGCATCCACGTCGAACCGACCGGCTACCGACCAACCAATAGAAAATAGTCCAAAAAATCTGGGACTTATTATCCACAAAACCCTTAGGTATTCCTTCCACGTGTGCTTGATTCCTAAAAATAGCCTATAATGGTCTCAGATTGATATATTCGAATAAAAATATTCTGAATAAGTGATTGAAAATAACCGTATGTCAGTCTCTATTGTTATATCACGCCAACTATGCCGATATGGTTTTTGGTCCTTTCCTTTTGGAATGTGGGAAAGAATACACAAGCCATATGTTCGTTTCATAGGTGGCTTACGTAAGAGACAAATACTTTGAAGTCTTCGGGTTGAATGAACATGTACATATGATGCACTGTTTGGAACCTTTGGTGTACTAATGAATATTACTGGAGTTTTTTCCCAACACCAAATCGTTATTTTTAACACCTCGACACGTGTTTCGATCACCAAGTGATGATCTTCGAAGAGGAAGATTAAACTCAACATGACTGAAAGGAGAGCACTTCATACCTATGCTTATTGAAAAAGATACTAATCAACAGAAGTCCTCCTATTCATACCATAAAATGAAATTCAGAACGGACGTACATACTTTAAATATCCTATACAAATCATCGCCAACTCCACCAAGCTACAGAACAACTCTTCGAAGGTAAAAAAACTATTTTGAGATCTGTTATTTTATTAACCAGCTGGCGCCCTCTGCGAACATTACCTCTCAAAAGTGAAAACTTGTGCGACCTAAAGATTAAAAAAGTTGTACTTTCTAACATGTGACTCCTAACACAGGTTGAACGATAGGAATTGATAATCGATCATCGGGCTATCGTCTCATCAGGTTCATTTTTGTTCATTATGTAACTTGGCTGATGAATAGGATTCCACCTTTGACTTCAATCAAAAAACACATTAAAAATGAAATTTTAGACAAATCCCTTGTACTAGAAATGAATTGAAGTATCTTTTTAAAAAAAAACGTTCTTTTGTGTATCTACTCAAGATGCACGTTTTATGGTTATGCGCACATAGAAATAGATATTCCAGGGATATTTCATGATTATACATTTAAGGAAATTGTATTATGCTATGAATATTCCATTGATTTATATAACTTCTGGAGAATGTTCCCTCGAAGTGCTCCTGGCGAACCTCTGATATATTCCTTGATATATTCCTTGGGAATATTCTTGGAATATTCTATAATATTCTTAGAATATGTAGGGTATATTCTATTGAGAATATTCCATAAATGGAACACGAGGAATATTCATAAAATATTCAGGATATTCATAGTTTATTGTAGGAATATACAATAGGGAATCACCATAGAATATTCTTTAAATATATTTTATGAATAT